AATAATAAAATAATAATAATAATAATAATAATAATAATAATAATAATAATAATAATAATAATAATAATAATAATAATAATAATAATAATAATAATAATAATAATAATAATAATAATAATAATAATAATAATAAATAATAATAATAATAATAATAATAATAATAATAATAATAATAATAATAATAATAATAATAATAATAATAATAATAATAATAATAATAATAATAATAATAATAATAATAATAATAAATAATAATAATAATAATAATAATAATAATAATAATAATAATAATAATAATAATAAATAATAATAATATAATAATAATAATAATAATAATAATATAATAATAATAATAATAATAATAATAATAATAATAATAATAATAATAATAATAATAATAAAATAATAATAATAATAATAATAATAATAATAAAATAATAATAATAATAATAATAATAATAATAATAATAATAATAATAATAATAATAATAATAATAATAATAATAATAATAATAATAATAATAACAATTTGGTGTAAGTGTAGCATATGAATGTAATTGGGATTTACTACATATTATATATATATATATATATATATATATATATATATATATATATATATATATATATATATATATATATATATATATATATATATATATATATATATATATATATATATATATATATATATATATATATATATATATATATATATATATATATATATATGATAGGTGTTTTAGGGGAATATATCTAGAATAGTAGTGATGTACCTATTTATGTATAAATGTTTGTTTAGAGGGGGGGGGGGGGGAGGGGGGTGTCCTTATCTTAGTGGTAAAGGGTCCTAAACAAGGTATGGGGAGCTTGTGGTCTATTATGCAACATGGACCAAGGTCTAGAGGGATAGTTTTAAGATATTTTGGGGACGCAACATATTTTTCCAAGGATAATTTCTAGATGACCACTTGTTTTAGGTTTCTACTGGTCTCACTCAGATTGAATTTCGGGTCGAAACTTAATACGCAACGTATCTGAGGGTTTAGATTTCTAGAAATAGAATTAGTCCCTAGAATTTCTATGTAACATATAAACAAGTCAATTAGGAAGATAATTCGATTTTCATGTTCAAGCATTAGATTGTTATTTATATGTTAAACACATAGGAAGTATCAAGGGAGATACACAAAGGCACAATGGGTCAATAAAAATGAGAAGTCAAGCAAACATACCGGACCAGTGGGCGCGAGGTGGGCGATCGACCGCCTGTCAAGTCCCCACTGGAATGTGGCAGTGGGCACGTGGTGGGTGGTCGACCTCCTGCCAAGGCCCCACTAGAACATGATTGTGAAGGAGGAATCACCTCGGGAAAAGCCCCGAGAATGCACAATTATAAGTTTCAAGGAATTCCATACTTTATGTGAACAACGAAAGGGGTTTGAATACATGAAAAATTCAAGGGATCACGTTATTATGATACTAATAAGGAATATGGGAGACTTCAACTAGATATCATAAGGATCCTACGCCCCATTCTTCCCCTTCTTAATTAAAGCTATGTTCCCCAAAATTTCCCTCCATGCAACTCATGTAAGTACTTATCGGGCTATTAGTGAGTTAACTATATTGGTCAATTATGATTAGGATAAGTGAGCTCTTATAAGCCGAATGGAATTACTAATTGCAAGTTCCAAAATACTTTATCAAGTAACAGATATCCAGATAGCGCATGTTTGATCAAATAGTTAAGAAATAATATGCAGTTCCTAACTTGGTCTAAAAAAATCAATTAGGAACATATGCTTAGGCAAATAAACAAGTATGGTAATCAAAGAGTGATAAGCAACAAAGCAGGTAAAAGCATGCAAGGACATCACAGATTTCTAGGGTAAGTATGTTGAATGAAGAGTTAGTGTGTTGTACCCATACCTTGATGTGATAAGCGAAGGGGGAAATTCTTTAAATTAGTGAGGGATAAAGTGAGGGGAGGTTATGTGATGATAGGTAGGCTCACAATCTCACTGCGCGTTCTAAGATTCCTAAATCCTATGTTCCTAAATACCTAGAGTTCAAGCCTAATGTCCTAAAGTCTGGTCTTACGAGTCTTATCCTAGGGTCAAACTTAGGCTCTGATACCAACTGTAACACCCCGAAATTTTGAAACTTTTAAAACTAATATGATAAAGGTAATTTCTCATAAAATCCCAAATAGAGCATTACTAATTATAAGTGTACGGGGTGCTATGCCACATCTGAGCTGGAGAACTCAGATGCACAGGCTAAACTAACTAAATATCCTCAATACATCATCATGGCACGCAGGCCGAAAGGAAAGACTATCTATCTAATCCACTATCTTCTAGCGCGCTCTGGGATCTACACGTCCGTGCCTGAAAGCCAAATATATCTGTTCAGCGAGAGATGCTGGTAACCCACTCCAACGCGTTGAAATACAATATATATATATATATATATATATATATATATATATATATATATATTGTATAGATATAGGAAAATCATTTTGGAGCAGGAAGATATATACTTAGGAGACTCTAGCTTTAAAACCGGAAATAGACTCAGCAAATAGGGATAAACTCATCAAATAACAATAAACAGTTAAGTAGAGATAACATCATAAGGAATACGCATCTAAGGTCACAGATCACTTTCCAATTCCAAACTCATCATCATCCAATCACCATTCATATCATATAATCATTGATGGCGCCACGGGACCAATCGCATGCCCCGAACATGAGGGTTAATGCTTATAGCATTAACACGGCCCCGCAGCACCCTACCTCAGTACCGCGGCATGAGGGGAGTTGATCGCAACCAACCCTTTGAGAACCGCTGACGAACTCAACGTCGGATCACGATCCGACACACCGCTAACGCGCACAGTCGGTGGACCGCGATCCCCTTTACAAGGGGGGACTTACGACCCTACACACCGTTGATGCGCACAATAGGTGGACCGTAGCGGATCAAGCTCGACACACCACTGATCCAAACACAGTCGGTGGGCGAAGATCCTCGGAGACTACGGCCCTACATAACGAGGTCCCATCACTCGATGGATCGCAGCCAGCCGTAGCCCTACACACCGCCTGATTACTCAGGTTGGTGGACTACAGCCTTCCTCGGCTTGTTGGCCCTACACACCGCCTGGCGCGTCCAGGTTGGTGGGTCATATCACCGAGGCCCATGTGGACCTTTAGTCCTATATAATCTTTATATACCTGACCGGTCTCTACCAACCTGGTTAACAGTTGGGATGGTTCTCATCCCATTCAACTGCCCGTATAGTGGACCTCAGTCCTATATAATATTTATATACCTGACCGATCTTAACCGGCCTGGTTTACAGTTGGGATGTTTCTCAGCCCATTCAACTGCCCGTATAGCCCTCTTGATCTTAACCAAGTTGGGGGATCATGCATCACATAACACATAATAACACACAATAACACATAATAGCATATTGGGAAGGGGGAGACATAATTAAGCTTACGTGTGATCATTCACATACTAAGAATAGTCCTAAGGGGTTCATACGACTTTCACCTAGGTCGACGGATTACCGATTCAACTAGCTTGCAATTCCTAAGACTCTTTTATCCTACGAACGGCACCCAAAACATCAAACTAGACTCAAGCACGACAAGCGGGATCCGTTGGGACACCACGGGGAGTGGGGAACATCAAACGGGGAAGCCGGGGACCCGGGGTGGGTAACAGACCAGCGGGTAACCGGTGGGTGAGGGATCACCCGCCGGCTACCCGCCAGAGATCACTGCCCGGCAGCGGGATGCCGACGGGCAGACGCCTGCCCGGCGCCTGCCCGCTGCCCGGCGGTGATCTTCGGCCAGCGGGTACCCCTACCCCCCACTGACTCATTCATCACAAATCCGTCCCGGGATCCTTTGTGGAACCCGAAACCATGCTTAGACAATTTTAAACACAATTAACGACACCACGTAGTCAATTAATGGATCAAAAGCCGGAATCACGTATAACTCATCCTATTATGAATTCTAAACATAAACAACACCCAAACATGCGAATTCCCACCCAATTTATATCAAGAACATTATAACACAAATTCCCAATCCATCCTAGGGCTCTAATCCCTCCCAATTCATCAAAATCACAATTTATCTTTAACATCAAGAACTATCAAGATTTGTCAAGAATCATTACATCAATATCAAGAACCTATTTTCATCATCAAGATCATCAAGATTATCAAGAATACACACAAATCATCTTATCAATCATCAAGAGTATATCACGATAGCATAGAGGTATAAATCAAGATACAAGCATATAGAGGGAGGCCAAGGAAGGAGATTATAGCTAAGAAAATAGGTTTTGTTGAGACATGGGTTACCTCTTAGCCTTAATTAATCATCCCTTGGCTATTAAGGTTCTTCCCTAAGATTTCCATCCGTTTTGATCTCCCTAGGCTTGGTGGAGTGGAGTCCCTTGGGAGTTCTTGTGTGGTGATATTTATTGTGGTGTGACTTCTAGGTGCCTCCTATGTCCTTATATATATATTTAGGAGTCCTAATTAGGGTCTGAATGGTATGGGTTTACTAATTCTATTCCTTATAGGATTAAGGAGTTGTTTTAGGGATAAGGGTCCATGGTCCATGGTGGACCATATTAATTAATTAAAGAGAATCCTAACCATAATCTTAATAGTAAAGGTATACTTTCTTTATTCCTAAAAGGCTTATGACTCTAGTTTATGCCAGGGTCCACGATCCGTGGTGACCACGTTAATTAATTAAAGGGATTTCTAATCAAATTAATTCCTTTTTAATTATTATTAATGGAATTAATTAAATAATTAATTCGGGATTAAGGGCCGTAACACAGGGTGTTACACGGTCGGTCAACCTTTGCAGGTCTTTGACAATGCTGGGGGGCTGCATGTCCATTATGTCTTAGACCTTTTCAGGGTTTGGCTCAATACCCCTTTTGGTTACCATGTACCCCAGAAATTTTCCCCCTTGCACGTCGATTATATTTAAGCATTACCTGAAAGCAGTCGGCTAGGTCTCCGGCATGACCCAATTCTTCCCGACTCTTTACCAACATGTTGTCCACATAAGCTGCCATGGACTTCCAGCAGGTCCTGGAACAGCCGAGCGACCATCCGGGTATACGTGGCTCCCGCATTCTTAAGTCCAAATGGCATGACCTGGTAACAGTATACGCCATCCGGGGTGAGGAAGGCTGTTTTCTCCTCGTCAGCCTTGTGCATATAAATCTGGTAGTAACCTCAGAAGGCGTCCATGAAGCTCAACAGCGCTGACCCTGAGGTCTCGTCGACCAATTGGTCGATCCTGGGTAAAAGGGAAAGGATCCTTTGGACAGGCTTTGTTAAGGTCGGTGTAGTCTACGCACATCCTCCAAGCCGGCGGTTTTGGTACGAGCACCACGTTGGCCAACCATTCCGGATATTTCACCTCTCGGATATGGCCGGCAGCAAGCAACGTGTTCACTTCCTTTTTAACGAACTCTCTTCGGTCATTGGCCAGATACCACTTTTTCTGGATCACGGGCCGGTGGTTGGGATCAATCGCGAGTAAGTGAGAGATTATGGATCGGTCTACTCCTGGCATATCCTCGGGTCCCCAAGCGAAAACCAGGCGATTTTCTAGGAGTACTCGTATAACTTCCTCCCACACATCTTCCTTGAGGCCGACTCCAATTCTAACCCGCCTCTCCGGCCTGGCTGGATCGATCTCCACCTCTTCCAATTCCACGACCGGTTCGGGACGAGGCGGTATTGCCTTCTTTGGGGGCCGTTCAGTGATCTCGTGAACTCGCATTTCTCGCTTGCCCATACCTCGACATACTTGCAGATAACAATCGCGGGCGGCCCTTCGATCGCAACGTACCGTGCTTACTCCATTTGGTTTGCGAAATTTCATACACAGGTGTTCGATGGAGATTAGTGCTCCTAAGTCCTCCAGGCCAAGTCGACCGAGGATTGCGTTGTGAGAGCACGCCAAGTCGACCACGACAAATTTCATATCCAACTTCTGTACGCTGGGGTAACTGCCAACCTCGATTGGCAGAGTGATGGATCCTTCGGCCTCTATGGAGTCCCCCGTAAATCCTGCCAGTGGTGTCTTCACTAGGGCCAACTGTTCTCGTGCCAGACCCATCTTGGTGAAGGTTTCGAGATACAGGACATTAACACTACTCCCGGTGTCTATCAGGATCCGTCGGACGACCACCGCGCTTACACCCATCACAATTACCAGGGCGTCGCGGTGTGGCGTCTCACCAGTCGGCAAATCCTTATCCGTGAAAATGATAGGTTCTCGTCACGCTTTCTTCGAGCCGCTCTCACGCTCGTATACTGTCCCTACGTACAACTGTCGGGCCCAGGCTTTTCTAGTATTAGCGGAGTCGCCCCCTTCAGGCCCACCGACTATCATGTTGATAACCGGTTTTTTTCTCCATTGAGCCTCACCTTCCTCGGATACCGGTTTCTTGTCGTGGTTTACCTCGGTCGTCTCTGAAGGGTCGCCGTCTTCCTTGGCCTGAGACGTAGATCTTCTCCGCCATTGGTTAGGAGGCGGCGTCCCATGCTGAATGATCCCCTCCATGATCTTTTTCAGGTAATAGCACTCTTCCGTATTGTGGGTGTACGATTTGTGATATCGACAATACTTGGATATCTTATCTGGATCTATATTTGCCGTGTGCTCACCGGGCGGGGGCGGCGCAACCGCCTGTACTTCGTGCACCGGATGTTGGGGAGTCGGCCGATAAGGCTGAGCGCTGGCTCTATCATACACGCGTCGAACCTCCTGTAGCCTGGACGGGTCGGGGCGTCTTTCTTTTACTTCTGCTCTAGTTCGCTTCCCGCTGGAGGCTCCTCCGACCTCGCGTTGTCTTTTGTATTTCATTGCTTGCTCAGTGTTGGTTCGCTTGTTGGCCATGTGAATGGCCTCCGCGTAGGTAGCCGGCCGATTGTCCCGCAGATCTCGATATAGTTGTCCGGATCGAAGCGACTCGATAAAGAAGGTAAGAGCAGTTTGGTCTTCCACCTCCTCGATAGATTGGATTTCCTTTTGCCACCGAGCTCGGTACGCTTTGAGGGATTCACCCTCATCTTGATAGATATCCCCCAGATGCGTTAGGTCCTTCTGAGGTTTTATGTTGGCGGCGTAGTGACTCATAAAGCGGTCGGCCAACTCCTCGAAGCTGTGGATCGAGCCTGTGGGTAAGGCCACAACCCATCTCTGGGCCAATCCCTTCAGTGTCGGCAAGAAGGCACGGCACATGACTGGGTCCTTGACCCCTAGAACTTGCATTTTTGCCTGGTAGCTCAAGAGGTGCTCGCGTGGGTCACCCGACCAGTCGAAAGTGGCCTTCTCCAGAAACTTGAAGTCTCCGAGTATGCTGTACGCCATGATTTCAGCCGAGAAGGGCAAGGCGGTGAGTAGCGTCCGACCCGGGGACTTGGTTTTGCCTTCCACTTGCTCCTTCAAATTGCGTAACTCCTGAGCTAGGTGGGCTACTTCGCCAGCATTCCTGGTGTGATTCCCCGTGGACTCGGTACTTTCCCCGACTTGCGACTCAGCCTGTCGTTCCTCGTTGCGAGTGGGCCCCTCAATTTGTCGTGCCCGTGCCCGAGTTCTTCTGGTATGAGTTCTTTCTCGGACGGCCTCTCGATTTCGTTGGCCCGTCCACACGCGACTGGGTTCTCCTCCTCCCAGTCGTTCTCTCACCGATCCACTCGTTATATTCGGGCCTAGTCTCGAATGAACTGACCGTGCTGGCGGATCCTCTGCTCTTCGATCCTCTCGCCCGCATCTATCCGACCTCTGGGGTAGTTGCTGATTGTGCGGCTGTATATTCGGCGGTCAGGAGACCGACGACTCTCTCCTTTCCCAGGTCTCCGCCGCGACCGCACGTGCGATGGCCTGGATTTGCTCGGGAGTGAGAGGTATCATCGTCGGAGGTCGGTTCCGAGGCGCTGAGTCATCTCCCTGACTCTGCGAATTCCGCTGGTTCAACTGATCTCTCAGGTCTGCTTCCGGCTCGCCGTTACGATTGGAGGTCCATCAGACATTTCGCAAGACTCCCTTTTTCTGCTTGCTCGTCTCTTCGCTATGTCTCCAATTCTCCCCTCAATGCTCAAGAACGTAACGGTCGTAACCTTTCGTTTCGATCCCCACGGACGGCGCCAGTGTTGGTTTTAGGGTTTTTGGGCCCTGGGAGGTCCAACACAACCTTAGTTGGTGGATTCACCTTTCAAAAATAGAAGGGAATAAGCGCTTTTAGTGAATGTGGGTCTCTATTCTCTGGGCATGGACCTGCCTCCCTCCTTACAACTTTTGAGGGGCCTTTTATAGTAGGCCTCCCTTGAATTTCAATTTAGAACATACATTTAAGGCCTTAATTGGCCGATTAATCACTAGTTATTCCTAAGGGTCGTTGGGCTGCCGTTACTAGGCCTCCCAACGGCTCTTTGACTGGGTTCTTTAATGCCTTCTTAAATGCTTCCAACGGCTCTTTGCTCCCTGCGCCGACCGAGCCCTCGCTCCGACCTCGGGGTCGGCCCGACTTCTCGACTCGGTCCATGCCTCTCCCGGGCTTTCCTTCTTTTGGGCCTAGCCTCTTCCTTTTCCTGAGCTGCTCTTTATTCTTTGGGCTTCTTCTCTCTTTCTTGTGCCTCTTCCTTTTCCTGAGCCGCTCTTTATTCTTTGGGTTTCTTCTCTCTTTCTTGGGCCTCTTCTTACTTTCTTGGGCTTCTTCTCTCTTTCCCAAGCTTTGGGCCCGGGGTCCACAGCCCATCACTCACTATTTTGATAAATCAAATATTTGAATATTGTCATTATTAAACTTTCAAGTTTACAATAATTATAAAAATAATCTTGTTTTTAATAGTTTTTAATAATTATAAAATTGAGCCATTTTTTTTACTAAATTTTTAACTATTGATGAACTTAATGGACAGTTAAGATCAATCTTATTTTTTATAGGAATCCAAAGACCATGTTCTCATGTCCACATATATATATATATATATATATATATATATATATATATATATATATATATATATATAGGTTCTGGTGCGGTTAGGGTGCCCAGGTGCGGTTGTGCGGTTTAATCTGGGTCATTCATCTCGCTTAAATCAACATCTAGGATTACCAAAATTTTTTTAAAAAAATACGGTGACAATTTTGTAATTTTTGCATCTAGGTCAAAATTAAGGTGAGCGGTTCTATGATTAATGTGTGTGAGTTTTGTATATAAGATGCGTGAGTCTTGTGCGTAAGGTGCGTGAGTTTTATGCTTAATGTGCGTGGGGTTGTGTTTAATGTGAGTAGTTGTTAAAACTTAAAGTGTGGGCTTTTGTGCTTAAGGTACGTGAGATTTGTTCTTAATGTGACTGGAGTTTGTGCTTAATGTGCGTAGGGTTTGTGCTTAATATGTGTGAGGTTAGTGATTAATGTCAGTAGTTGTTGAAACTTAAGGTCTGCGAGTTAATACTTAAAGTGCGTAGGTTTTGTACTTAATGTGCGTGAGTTTGTGCTTAAGATCTAACACAAAAAACCACCATATACCTCTCTACCACTAATGATGTATTTCCGAACACTGTGTTGTGCTTTTAGTCATACCTAATGGTGTGTTGTTGGTGATGCTACGTAATTTGTGTGTGTTTTTTGTGGTGCATTTCCTGACGTTGATGGTGTATATCTTGCTTAACTATTGATGTATTCTAAAAATCGCCGCACGACCGCACGGGAAGGGGTCACCGCACCTGAACTCACCTCCATATATATATATATATATATATATATATATATATAGAGAGAGAGAGAGAGAGAGGAAGGTTCAAGTGCGGCGGTGCGGTCAACTGTAGGTCATTAGATTAGATAAGTCCAATGAATCACATTCGTTAGGGCTTCTCCGATATTTTCGCGCACGTTCTCACTCTAACCAAACTGCAAAGCTAAAGTCGTCACTGGGCACCAGAAGAAGAGGGCAAATCATAGTGTTGTGTGTTTTATGTTCATTATTGGTGCATTATTAACCTTACTAGATGAATTTGTGGATTCGTGTTGGTGCATTCCCGTGCGCCGCACTAATAGTTATACAAATATACACCATCCATGTTAGAAAATGCACACCAAAAAAACATGCACAAATTCGGTACGCATCACCAGGACACACCATTAGGTATGAATAAAAGCACCACACAGTGTTCGGAAAAACACCATTGGGGTGGTGAGTTATATGGTGTATTTTTTGGGTGTGTTGTGTGTTATTTTGGTGAATGTATTTGTGCATTTCATTGTTGTGCTTTTTCTAACACTATTAGTGTCTTTTGTTAACACTGTTGGTGTATTTTGGTAACACTGTTGGTGTATTCTGTTAAACGACCGATATAAATGACCACTACCATAATACCCCCCACTTACCACTACTAGAAATTATGGAATTTCCGACCACCTGAAAATGATCTTAAATCAAGTAGAAAGCCTTGTTCCGACCACTTTTGGTATCCGGAAAAACCTTTGTTGCTATTTCCGACCACTTTTTGGACTTTTTGGTATCAACTTAATTTAAGATCATTTTCAGGTGGTCGGAAATTCCATAATTTCCAGTAGTGTACCAAGACGCGCTTAAATCTTCAAATATTTAGAAATTAACCGCTGCCGTCAGATTAAGCAAAATGGACGATGCTAATATGACCGCGCCGCCGCACCTAAGGACCCAGCCGCATATGAGCCTTATTCTATATATATATATATATATATATATATATATATATATATATATATATATATATATATATATATATATATATATATATATATATACATATATATATATATACATATATACATATATATATATATATATATATATATATATATATATATATATATACATATATATATATATATATATATATATATATATAGAGAGAGAGAGAGAGAGATCATATGCAAATAATGTCTTAGATGAAAATGAGGTTAAATCTCAACTATTGATTTCGTCCCGATCTAGCGTTGAGAATGAAGAAAAATAATTTTAAAAAAAATACTATAACATTATGGTAATTTAGTGTAAGTTCAGTTTTTTTTTTTCTTTGAGTGTATTATTTTTCTTCGTTGGGTGCATATTGTTCCTTCGGGTGTTGTTCCTTCTTCGAGTGCATGGTTTATCTTCTAATAAATATTAACTTTTTTCTTTGGGTGCATTATTTTCCAGGTGCATATTGTTTCATCTTCCGGTGCATGGTTTATCTTCTAGTGAGTATTTACTTGTTTGTTTGGTGCATTATTTTCCTTTGTTTGGTGCATATTGTTCCTTCTTTGGGTGCATATCGTTCCTTCTTCGAGTGCATGATTTATCTTCTAGTAAATTTTTACTTTTTCCTTTGGCTACATTATTTTCCTTCGTTAGATGCATAACTTTAGAACTTAAGCTGCAAGTTTAGAACTTGGGTGCATAACTTTAAAATGTTATATTTACACTATTAAAGTACATAACTTTGCACTTACTATAAGGTGTGTATAATTTAGCCTACAAGTGCATACATTTTAATCTTTAGGTGGCTAAATGAAGATAATTCAAGAAAGCACGCATGTGAATCATCCACAATATATATATATATATATATATATATATATATATATATATATATATATAGGGTCCATGGTCGAGGAAGCTAAGGAAGACAAGATGCTGCAATGGTCTGAGTGTTAGATTAGTGGTGGGATGGATGATTGTTTTGGGTGTAGGTGCTATACGTGGCCATTTGGCATGCATGCATGCAGTAGCAAATATATGCATGGATTAGCGTAATAATTATTTGACGTGATCTAGTCTGCACGGTGCTTGGACTTGGTCCAACGTAAATGTTCAGTTTAAGTCCATTTCGATCGGTATGGGACTGGGGGGAAATGTAATGTCTCAACACACTTAGCTTATGAAAAGTATAATTGGTAGATTTGATTTCAGTTCATTCCAGAGATTGCACCATTTAGGGATCACTGCACTTTCCTCATCTGTGCATCTTTTATTCTCAAAAAAGCAATAGCTGTAAGATTTTCCCTAATAATATATATTATACATTATATATTAGGGTCTTAATTAAGTGGTGCAAGTTGACTAGGCTTATTAAGTGGTCTGGTTGGACTTAATAACTAGTAGTTGTTAGTCAACCAAACTCTGTGCCTAATATAACCTGGATTGATGGGATACAGGATTATGGATTAGATAGCACATTCAGTTACGGTACTCAGACCGCTCAGTAGACACCAATACACCATCTAGGGTTCTGAGTCAGGTCTGAGGCAAAACATGGCTGACGGTCTACCGTTAAGAGGCAACACAACAGGAACATCAACTATGGCTGGAGATCTACATGGCTACGCTTCCGCTATCATAC